TTCAGCAGAAATCAAGGTCCCCAGCACAGCCCTGCCCCAAACTTACTGCCTTTCAAGCCCTGGACCATGGCCAGCTGAGTGAGGGGAGTGCAAAGCCCTGCCACAGGGTGCCATCCTGGATGGACACATGCATCAGGAGCCTACCCAATGCACACAGCCTGGGCCAGCAGCGTTCTGCATCCAGCCCAGAGGAGTGGTGAGAAGCCTGCATTGCGGGAGCAATGGATGTCAAGCTGCTGTGGGGCAGGCAGAGGGCATACCTGTGGGATGGGAAGCTATGGGACTGGCCTGGGTAGTGCCAGGGCATCCCCCCCATGCCAAGGGGGGAATGGGGCATGGCTGCATTGCTCATGAGGTGCAAGCACACTCTGCACACCCAGGCAGAGCAGGCACTTCCCAGCCTCATGCTGGACTCTCTGGCTGTATGGGGGGAGCTTGGGAGCATCTGGGCAGCCTGGGAAAAGCTTTTGACCCGGAGGCTGCTGTGTTGCCAGGTCTACTGCCTTTCTCCTGAGCACAGGTTGAGAGTCGAGCCTTTCCACAAAGCTCCAGTTCCCAGAGTCCAGTGACCCTGTGAGGCTCGGTCTCCAATTCAAAAAACCTATTTCTTGCTGCCAAGGAGTGCTGGAAACGTGGCCCGAAGGTGGCCTAAATGTTTGGCAAGCAGGCAGCAAAGGAGAGCGCTGTCTGGCTCTCTGTCTGCTTCACTGCCTGCTCCTGGCTGGAGCACAGGCTGCTGCCCTCTCCTGCTCCCATGCAGAAATGCTGCTGGATGTCCCAGGCCGGACAGCCTTGCCCTGGTTCCAGGATGTTTTTTTGCTCAGGATCCTGGGTCAGGCTGGGTTCAGCGTCTGCCTCCCCACAGACCTGTTTAGTCTTTCCTGGTTTGTACGCCAAAATGCTGCTCCTGCTGAGCACCCTCTCTGCAGAGGGTACAATTTCCTGCTGGACTGAGGGCTGTGCAAGGGGGGCTGGCAGCTGCAGGGACAGAGCCTGGCACTGCTGGAACCTTCCCTGGGTCATGCATAAGCATAAACCTCAAAGGCCTGATTGAGGGGGTGCCAGGCCCTTCCCCAGCCGTGCTTAGTGATCAGCATCATCCCATTGCCACCCAGAGCTGAGGACCAAGGGTTACTTAGCCACCTTTTCTCCCATATGCCGCATACTGGTGTTGCTCCAAGGTGGAGGAGACCAAGGATGCTCTGAGACCAAACCAAAGAGGAAAGGACAGGACCGAGCAGGATGCAGCCTGAGAGAGCAGAGCACAGTGCTCACAGCCACATGGAAGGCCTGGGCTCCATGTACCCAATATAAAAGCCTGTGGCCTCTGCTGGAAGAGCAGAGGCAGGTCCCAGAGATTTGTTTGGTGGCTTTTGCAAGAAAACTGGGCTACTGGTCTCCCCCAGTCCCACTCTGACCCTGTTCCCAGCCAGCACTGTGACCCCATGCACCAGGCACCCGCTGAGCCACTGCTGCTAGCATAAAGCCTGTGTACCTCCACGTCCTTCAGCTCCTGTGATAAGCACGCCTATGAAGGACATAGGGGAGCTGGGACACCTCTGTGGTGCCCCAGTCCTTCCACCCAGACTTCCCAGTATCTTCCCAGTTCAATCCTGCTCCACAACCTACTCACCACTGGCAGTTTGTCTGCTGGCAGTGGTCACAGCGGTCACCAGCAGACACCGAACATAGCCCATCTTGCTGCACTGTCCCACGTGTGGGCACTGCCAGCTCAGGCCCACACACCAGGCAAGGCTGGAGTCTCAGCGTCCCTGCAGCTGTGCCAGCCCCAGCCCCAGCCCCAGCCCCCGTCCTTCCACATCTCGCCTGCTGCTAGCTCAGGCCCACACACCAGGCAAGGCTGGAGTCTCAGCGTCCCTGCAGCTGTGCCAGCCCCAGCCCCAGCCCCAGCCCCTGTCCTTCCACATCTCGCCTGCTGCTTGCCCGGTCCCCCTAGCCTGGGTCCCCCCGCTCTGCCCATCACCATCCAGTTGCACCCCCTCCCCAGCAGCCTGGACCACCTGGAGAGGTGTGGGCCATGCATGCCCAGGAGCAGCTGTGCTGGCAAGTGGTGGGAAGTCACTGCTGGCCAGCATCTTCCCGGATGTGCCCTGCTGCTGGTGAGCGGTCGGAGGATATGGAGGACTGTGCCACTGCTGTTCAAGTACGGCTGATTTCCAAGACCTTTCCACAGGCAGGTGAAGCCCAAGGCTCCTCGTTCTCACGCAGAAGGTTTCTTCTGCTAATGAGAAGAGAGGCCACTGGTTAATGCAGTAAATGCTCCCAGGGCAGCAGTAAGGGAGGGAGGGCTTAGATTTCAAAGGGCTTTGTTATCTGGGTGCTTGTAACCCAATCGCACAGGCTTGGCTTCTCAGTGGCAGATCCGATAGCACACTTGGCCCTGAAAGGTGAGCCCCTTCCCATTGCCAGAGCCACGAGCAGCCACCTGGACCTAGCTGGGGAGCTGCTCACAGCTCAGGCCCCTGATGCTCTTTGCGGGACTGCTGCAGCCCCCAAGGACGGTGCAGCCCTTCTGCCACCTTGCCTGAGACCCTGGAGGGAGGAGAGCACCTCAGGACAGGTAGGGATGGGGGACTGGGGAGGAAGTGGTGCCCATGTACTCCAAAATGCTTGAGGTCACGGGAACAGAGGGAGCTGGGTCCTGGTGGGCTATGGAGAGGGCCTGAAACATGCTCCCCTTCACATGAGGCTGGACTCCTCGATTCATCTCCACCAACTTGTGTGGCTGTCTCCCTGCTGCTGACAGCCATGCCGGGGTGGCCTGGGCTGGGGAGGAGTAAAGCTCTGGCACAGCCTGCTCCACCAGGAGCTGTTCTGCAGCCCAGACAGCTGACCCGCTCTTTCCCACATTGGGGCTCTCAAGGACCCAGGGTCCATGCAGGCCCCCAGGCACATGGCCAAGATCCAGCCAGTCGCTACTCATCCACATTCACTCCCAGGGGCTGGAAGGGGCATTTGGCACAGCTCCTAGCAGGGATGCTGAGTGGCACCAGGGAAAATGCATCCTTCCATGGCTGCAGGATAGACTCCAGGGCCTACTGTAGCAGCAGGCTCCTGCTTTTACAGGCAGGACCAGACACAGAGCAGGCAGAGATGTGCTGGGCAGAGAGCTTGCCCAGACAGTCCCAGGAACCTGCCACTGTTCCCTGCCATGCAGTGCTGATGTCCATCTCTCCCACCCCTCGGATATATCCTGGTCCTCTCAGAGGTGGCATCCACCTCTCTGGCCTTCTCCATGCCCAGATGCTCTCCCCAGCTGCCAGGCTGATGGGGTCCTCTCACCTTCCCCTCCCCAGCATGTCCCAGGCTGGTGGCAGTGCCTGTGCAGAGGACACGTGGCCAGACGCCGAGACCCACTCCAGTACCCTGAGCCGAGGCAGCCACAGGATTGACTGCATCATCTGCTACTCCTCCTACGACCTGTGCAGCCGGCTGCCACGCCGGCTGTACTGCGGCCATACCTTCTGCCAGGCTTGCCTCAAACGCCTTGATGCCATCACCAATGAACAGCGTTGGATCCCCTGCCCGCAGTGCCGCCAAAACACGCCCACACCGCGCGGCGGTGTGGCAATGCTTGACCTGGACCTGGCCACTTTCCTTGCTGTTAAGGCTGACAAGGAGCATCCCCGGGTGGCTAGCAGGCCCGAGCCTGACTTGGCCACCAAAGGGTCATGCAAAGAGAAGGTGGTCACCCAGCAGCCTTCGGGGCTGTGCCAAGACCCAGTGCCCCAGGCGCCATTCCTTCGAAGCGGCTGCTGCCGGCGATGCCTTTGCTGTGGGGTAACAGCTGCCTTTGAGAGCTGAGCAGGCTCTTGGCAGGCTGGAGCTGCTGTGGGCAGCAGGAGAATGGTGCTGCCCATGGCAGCACGTGGACTGGCAGGGCAGGCAGTGGTCGGCATAGCTCAGCAGATGGAGCCAGGGCCTCCTGCGCCCAGCATGATGCGGACAGTCAAGCTCCTAGGGTGCTGCCTGGGCCCTTTTTGAGGACTAGCCAATCCCTTGAAAGAGCTCAGCCCCAACCATGCCCTCGCTCCATGTGTGTGTGGACAGTAGTAGAGGAGCTGTTCTTGGGTCCCAGCAGCTCCTAAAGGGCCTCAGCTTGCACAGAGCTTATTGCCTATCCTGCTAGGATTTGGGGTGCAATAGAGGCGGGAATGAGAATACACCCACCCCTTCATCGTGCCCACCCGTCCCTCTGACAACTCTGAAATCTGGTTCAGGCAACACAGATGTCTCCCGGAGCCTGGCCCAGGGCTTGCTGATGCCTGGCTTCTCCATGCATGCTGTTCCACAGCAGGGACACCTCAGCCAAATGTCCCACCATGCAGGGTACAAGGGGAACCTGGCACAACACAGCAAAGCAGAGCTGCTGTGGAGAGTATGTCTGACACCCGAAAGCTTCATGTCTATTAAACAACTCTCTATTGGCCCTGCTGTGCTGCATGTATTGGTGCTATTTGTTGGCAAGCCTCATGTTAGCCTGCGGCAAGCCCTGCTGCCTGGTGCAGGAGGAGGAAGTGACCTGGCCTGCCAGTTACTTTCCTCTGTTTGCTCTGTTTGCCATTTGCATTAGAAATTTGGTGTTGGACGGTTAAGAGTGAGGATGACACAGTTATTAGGGAGCGAACAGCAGTAGCAAGGAGGCTTTTGCCATGACACAGCTCTATCTCTTGAGATTTATCTGGCTGTCACTTGCTTTGCTCAAATCTGGGAGGCCTACCCAAAGTGAGCTCCTGACCGGCCCCACACTCTGCTGCTCATGCTGATTTTAGTCATGCTGCCTAAAATTCTTCCCACTTCCCTGCTTGCATGCACATACATAGCTTGTACATAGACCCCACCACTGTTTCCGTGCCTGAGCTGTCAGCACTGCAATCCCTGCCTGAATCCAAACAGGAGGCTGCAAGGACAACAGCCTAAGCAGGAGGGTCTGGATTGTATCAGAGACCAAATGGAGAGGTCTGGGACTCACTGGAGTGATAGTAAAGTTCTTAGGTAGGGCTGGAAAGACTGAGGGTTGCCTGTGCAGCTCTTGTCGTCCTTTCTCAGAGTCCATTTTCTGCTTCCTTTTCCTATGTGATTTATGAGCTCTTACGACATCCTACCTTCAAACATTGCCAGCTAGCCCTCAGGTCTCAGCAGGGGACCTCAATCTGTGCCTCCTTGGAGCCAGCAGTAATTTCATGTTCCCTCCTGGTTCCCTCCCTCCTGCGCTGGCCTCCAGGGCCATGGCCAGAGCCCAGCTCCCATGCCGTGTACAGCATCCACGTTGTGTACGATGCCCATTCACAATTCTGCCACACGGTGTCACCTGCCATAAAAAAGTCAGGGCTCTGAGAGCTGCTCAGCATGAGGACTCTCTGGCTACAGGAGCAGACGTTGCAGAAATGGTGCTACCGGGGATACCCATGTCAGACAGGACTGGACAGATGCGAGGGTGCCCAGGGGGATATCAGAAGTGTGGTGTGGTTCACTGCCTCTTTCCATCATGGGGCAGGCATCTGCAAAATGACCTGGCAGGCAATGGTAGGAAAGACTGAGTGTGCCTGGACACAATGTCAGGGCTCTTTGCTGATACTCTTTGTGAGCAGGGAAAGCCACTTATCTGCAAGAGCACCCCTGCCCCATTCTGTATTTACACTCTCACCTGAGTCCTTTGGTGACCACCAACACTCCATTTGCGGGGGACCCCCTCCAGGACCCCTGTTTTTTGCAAGGTCTGAATGGTGAGCCTTATTCCCCCAGGATGCTCTTGAATGGGCCCAGATGCATCTTTGAGGGCATGTTTTCTGCCATGGGTCCACCATGACTTTGTGATGGTACCAGTCTCTCTGGCCTCAGGGTGTGAGTTCCTGCAAGTGCAGCACCGTACCCCAGCCCTTGTGCGCCATCAGTGCTCCCGAAATGCGGGCACAGCCAGGTGCTCTACTGGGCTCAGTATACTCAAGCTGAGTGGGCTGGGTCCTGCCGTTGACATGCCCCCTCACTCACCCTTTCCCCTTTACTCTCGGTGGGAGCAGCCCTGGCACAGTGGGAGTCAGGGGAGAGTCTCAGATCTTCAATTACATGGAACCACTCAAGAAATTAAAGTCTTTAAGGATGGGATAAAAACTGCCCACAGGGTCTTAAAGCTCATTTTCTTCCATCTTTTATGTGCCCCTGCCCCAGGCTGACCAGGGGCCTGCTCTCACCCTTGCACGCTCAGGCACGGAGACCTCCTGACTCTCTACCTGAGCAGAACTCCCCTTGGGAGCATGCACTGGAGCAGGGAGCCTCAGAGAAATGTAATAGCAGGGAAGTAAATGCAAATGTCAGTGCTGTGAAGCTGAGAACTGCAGGCCCCGAATGTCCTGCTCCCAACAGAGCCACGGCCTCTTCTGGGTTGGTGTTGGAGCCTTTGGAAAGGGAGGGGTCCCATCACACCAAGATGCTTGGGCTGTGGGGGAGTTGCCAATGCTTTCCACTGCTGGAGGGTTTGGGCCCATCGCTAGGAGATTGCTGTCACCTGGCAGGAGATGTTTGCTCAAGTCCTCATTGGGTTGCTTTGGTTTGCAAATACTCCACAGCCGAAAGGTGAGAACTGGCTGGCAATGGCCCCATCCCTGCCCGAGGCACAGCTCCATACAAAACAGAGCAGCTGTTAGCAGGACTCTGAGCTGATCTGGCACCCTAGGCCTGGCTCTTCAATGGTGGAGGGTGGCAAATGCCTCTGGCTCCTTGTCTCTGGTCCTGCTTCCTCACCTGCACGCCCCCCACCCCTGCTCCATTGCAACTGTCCAGCCTCAAGACCAAACTAGAAAGCCATGGCCCTGGCTATGTGTCTCTGCACATGTCCTTCCTGCTCCCACTCAGGGGCTGGTCTCTGAAGGAGTTTATCTATCTGCCTCTCTGTCGCATCATTTTGGGGACGACATTGGCATGTTGGTTGAGCACCCTGGATTCACTCTGCTCAGCCAGAGCAGGCCTGGCTTTGAGCCCTGTGCCTTTGAGGAGTGCTTCATCAGTCCTCCCCAGGTCTATCCTTGTGTGGTGTTCCATGTAGCAGATGCTAAAGGTGCAGGTCGCAGACCTGTGCTGTGAACCCAAAGCTCAGGAGCTGCAGCACGACGTCAACTGCTGCATGCAGTCTGAGACAGCTCCAGCCTGCAGAGACATAGGGAACTTTCCTTCGTAAACTTGGGCCACCAAGAACAGTATGCCCCAGACCTGGCAATGGGCTTAGGTGCAGGAAGGCCCCTGAGAGAGACAGCAGCTCCCCACACGGCCAGTGGTGCCCCAGGAGGGTATGGACACTGACCAGAAGCCCCATAGAGCTGGGGATGCTGAGCCCTGAGCTGGGGGGGTGGCAGGCAGTGCCATTTGGGTTGAAGCCCCAACCCATAGGAGGAGGCATAGTGATAGGGGAGGAGGACATTGGACTGTCACTGCTGCCCTGTGAGCAGCTGGCCTAGTGACTACAGCCCTTGCTGGGGAATGGGACCTGGGCTCTTTCTGCAGGGTGCCATGTCCCCCTCCCAGGAGAAGGATGTGGTGACAGGAACCCAGGAAAGAGGGGGATAGTGTCAAATGAGTTGGATTGGCTTTGGGAAGGGGTGCTCAGAGAGTGGACCTCTCTCCTCAGCTCTACCTCAACTTGCTCTTTTACGTGTATCCATCCCTTACACTTCTCAGCACCCCTTCCCTATGGCCCTGGGTTAGCTGCAAAGTTGCAGGGCTGAGGACAGTGTGCAGCTGGGTAGGCTGTCGGGGGAAAGCTAGGAGAAATGCTTGTGTATCCACCTCTCCGAACTCAAAGGAGTCATCACCTGTGGGATCCAAGGGCACCCGTGCAGCCAGTGATGCCAGGGGACCAGCACTCTGCTGAGTGCTCACAGTACAAGTGAGAGGGGACAGTGGCAGATACTGCTGGGGTATGGGGCCCCAAAGGGATCATCAGCTTGCAAGTGCAGCAGCAGGGTTGGTGGGACTACCATGTGGGGTGCCAGGACTCCCGATTGACTTCAAATCAGCCTAGCAAGGGGGCAAAGCTGTGGCCCCACAGCTGCAGCATGCACCACACTGAGCAGTCGGCTGGGTGCAGCCTAGGCATGCAAAATAGGAGTGAGGTCAGGCATAACAAGCGATAGCCTTGCACTTGGCCTCTGGCCATAGTGAGGAGTACGATGTGGATATTCCTCATCCTGCGTACCATCAGAGCGAGCAGCAGACTGGCAACAAGGGGGCTGGAAGAGAGAGTTGAGGTGGGTTCATGGCCTCCTGGGCTCTCTGAGCACAGTAGCTAGAAATCGCCATGCTCTTAATACGATTTTTTTTCCCCTCAATAAATTTTGCACATCCCACCTGATGTCAGAGGGCCAGAGGAAGTGGGCAATGTACCCTGCAAGGAGGAAGAGCATTTTGGGACAGGGGTCCCCTATGATTCAGGTCCTCAAAGAGTCTGCTGCTGGGGGTGCTGGCAGGGTGAGTCAGTGCTACCACTCCACATGGCTGTGGGTTCATGCCCTGCTTTGGGGCAGGGCTGGGCTGAGCTGGAGGATTCTTCTGAATTATTTCCAGATGGGGATTAATGCAGCAAACCGAGTTTGCTGCTGGATAGATAAACAAACCAAAGCTCCTCCAGATGCTATTAATAAACTGGTCTGCCTGCTGCTTCTGGCCCCAATCCGGGAGCACCTCGTTCCCAGTCTGGAGGGCAGGCATACACTCTGCCTTGTTGCCCTTTGAGTGCTTTTACCGTGGGGCATGGACAGCAGGGATGGGGGGCAAAGGGCTGTGAGAGCATAATTTGAGGACGGTCTCTCTGCTCCCAGTCACAGTGCTGGACTCTGGGTGGGATGAGGCACTTCCAGCTGACCATCCCCCCAAGTCTTCTGTGTCTTGCTGATGGGTAAAACGTCCTGCTGCCCACAAGTCTCCATACAGCCATCGATCAGGCCTTTGTAGGGCCACAAGGAGAGCCTGGCCCTTGCTCTGGTGGGGCAGCAGACTTGAACTCTACCAGGGAAAGCAGGCACTGGGGATTAAACCTTCTCCTTCTTAGCCTTCTGTTACGGGGTTTCAGACAGCTTTGAAACCAGAGGAGGCGTAAACAGGGTGGAGTTAGACTTTGAGCCCTCTCACATTGGCACTGCCATGCCAACATGAAGGCACACTTGGCTACAGCCCCAAATGTTCATGTTTCTCACTTGTTCTCAACTTGGGGCTCCTGGGTTGCCCCCTGTGTGCATGCTGACATGTTTGTGCATGTGAGTGTGTGTGAGAGGACAGCCCACGTCTCCAACTCCTTCAGCATAAGCTGTCCTGGGGCAATCTGGAGTAGTGGTCAGAGCACCCTGGTCAGCGAGGACACCTGGATAGGCTGGGGGTAGTGTGCACCAGCAGCCTCTGTCCCACCAGTTGCAATGCATCTCCACCACCACAGAGTGGGAGCTCCAGAGGATCCTTCTGGGGATAAGGAGGCTGGTTGACCCAGCAGGCTCAGGTCTCCACCCCTCCTGATTTTGGCCTGGCTTGTGGTCTCCCGCTACATGCAAGCAGAACCCACGGCAAGGAGTGGGGTAGGCAGTGGCTCCTAGCAGAGCTCCTCATTGAGGACCTTCTGAGCATGGTAGGGATAGCACAGGAGTTAGGATTAGACCTGTGCATAATATAGCTTAAGCTTTGTCCCATCGCAGCTAGCTATGGGGGTCCTGGCTCCATATACCCCCCTCTCTGCATGGCACAGTGGAGACCAGCACATCCGTGGGGGCTGCTCTGAGGGGAATATGGAGACCAAAAGATGGGATGGGTCTGTTTTTCTTACAGCTTTCCAGCCTGCCGAACATACAGAAGTTAATCCCGGGGTGTGCAGAGCTGGCTCCTTACCTGGCTGGAACAGTGCCTGGCAGGGGGAGGGGTGAGGGCATGGCTCTGCACCTTGCCAGGGCAGACATCACTGCAAAAATATTTGCTAAGAAAAGTGCAGCTCCACCCTGAGGAAAGCTGAGGCTGGGCGTGCAGCTGGCTCCAGGTTTGCAGACGGAGGGTGGTGGCGAGCCGCATCTGGGCAAATGCGAGTGGCTGGGGGGTGGTGGGTGATGTGCTGCCGTTTTTACAGACGGGGTGGGTGGGGGAGCCGCATCTGGGCAAATGCGAGTGGCTGCTGGTTGCTGAGCAAACCGACCTTGGAGCCAGGTGCTCTCTGGCACCTCTGCTCTGCACCCCCAGGCTCACCCACGGGTGCCCAGCAGGGTAAGCCCATAGGCTGCATGTGGCTGGGGAAGACAACGGGCACTAGGAACGCACCTTTAGGGGAATCCCGACGCTGCAGGTGGGGGAGCTCTTGCCATCTAAGTGGGCAGCTATGGGCAGCTGGAGGGGCACCTTGCTCGCCTGCCTGTTTCTCCTGCACCCGCTGCCTTCGCCAGCATGCCCAGCTGCCTGTCGTTGCTCCTCGGGGGAGGTGGACTGCACTGAATGTGACCTGCACGAGGTGCCGGAGAACCTACCAGCCAATACCAGCACCCTGTGGCTTGGCTACAACTTCATCACCATACTCAGGTCAGGCTCCTTCCCCTTTCTGCCGGTGCTGCTGCGGCTCAGCCTACCTTACAACCACCTGGGGAAGATTCACAGCCAAGCCCTGGTGGGGCTCGGGGAGCTTCAGGAGCTGGACCTCAGCAACAACTACCTTACTGCACTGACCTCAGAAACCTTCCTGCCCCTCACCAGCTTGATCGTGCTCAACCTGGGCAGCAACAGGCTGGGGGAGCTGGAGCCCAGAGTGCTGTATGCCCTGCCCCAGCTCCAAGAGCTTTTCCTGCACAGCAATCCCTGGGTATGCACCTGCAGCATCCAGCCCCTCTGGCACTGGCTCAACCACAACGGGGAAAAAATGAAAGGTAAGTGTGCAGAGGGCTGTGTCCCCATCCTCCCCACCCTCTTCAGGTAGGCCAGGCACCCATGTCAAGCCTGAGGCCAGACCCCAGGACCATGGCTGCCAGCAGCTGTGGGCTCATAGGTGAGCCCATATGTGGGACCATATGTGAGCCTACACCTTGGGCACCGCAACACAGTACACTGCCCAGTGCAGGGTACAGTGATGTTCCTCATGCCCCGTACCAGGCCATGGAGGCTCTTGTGTCCCCTTGGGTGGCCATGTCCCTGGGTCTGGTCCCTGGTGTCCACCCTCACGTGCTTGGTGTATGGTCAATGGTCACCAGCAAGGATTTTCTGGAGAGCTGGACTGGGCAACGTCCCCACCACTGACACCAGTCCAGCCGTGGTGAGGGCAAGGGGCACTGGGCATTTGAGTGGCCAAGGAGAGCCTGCATATCAGGATGGGCATCACCCCTGACTCTGCCACAGCTCACTGCCTTCATCACCTCACCCCTTCCCCAGTGTCTTCATGCCAGTCTGATCCTTCATTTCCTTCCCCTGGGAGCCTTGGTGAGAGAAAGCTGTCTGCGAGGTCTCTCCCTCTGCTGCCACCTGTTCCTGTTTGCCACTGCCTTGGGTGCCTGCCTTTGCCTGAGCTGGCTGGGGACTTTCTGTGGCATTGCCAGGCTGGCTGCCCACTGCTCCCCATGTCCCATCACATCCCATCCTGTCCTAACCCCATTTTCAAGTCTTGTCATGAGTTCTCCAGCACTCATCCACACCATCTCTTCCCTTTTCCCAAGCCATGGGACATAGGAAAGCCTTGAACCCTTCCTGCTCCCTGTCTTTGCACTCTGCTCTGGACTGTCTTGGCCTATCTGGCTGCACAGTCCTTGTCCCCCTGCCCTGGTCCTTTCTGTCCCATCCAGACCTGCCATCCCCCCTACCCATGATACCCACCTACCCTGTCCCAGCTGTCCAGTGTGCCCAGGTACCTGCCCATCAGCGCTACTTTTCTCTTCCAGAGAAGAGTTTGCTCTTGTGCAGATTCCCAGAGCAGCTGAACAAGTATCCAATCGTGGCCTTCAGGAATGAATCCTTCAGGCAATGCCAGGACAACTCACTGCTTGCCCAGGACTACGCCTTCTTTCTGCTTATCGGACCGTTCTCTTTCCTGGCCAGCATCTTCCTCTGCACCTTTGTGGGCTCCATCACTGTCATCTGTCACAACCTGCACAGAGAATCATGCTCCTGGAGGAGATTCCCTGCCTGCAGGGGGCACTGAGGCAAGGCAAGCAGGCACTTGGCAGGCTGTGGTCCATGCTCTTCACAGATGCCTACACCTAGCCACTGTAAATGTTTCCCTGTGAACCAATGAGAGGATGTTTTATTCCTGGAAATTGTTTTCTTCTCTCCTCCCAGTGTTCCCAGAGGTGGTGCCAAGCCAGGACCATCCGCACTCACTGCTAGCATGAACAGCCTCCAGCCTAGCCCCCATGCAGGACACAGATTGGCTGTAACAGCTCTGCACATCTCAGGAGGCACCCCTAGGCCTCCCGTTGACACGCACCTCCACTTCCCCGGGAATCCTTTTCCCCTAGTGCATCCCACCCTCTCCCTCCTGCTCCCCAAAGGCCTTCGTGTGCCTTTGGGTGCACCCTAGGGGTGTTTGCCTTCTGATTCCCTCCAAAGCCTTCCTTGTGCCTTTTGGTACCCTCAGTGTCCTCCGTCTGGCATTCAGTAACCCAAGCAGACTCAGGGTGCCTTTCAGTGTCCCCCAGATTCCTTGTTTTGGCTTTTGGTGCATCCAAACACATTCTCTTTGGCTTTCTGTGCCTCTGCCAGGCCTTGGTCTGCCTTTTCATGCACCCCAGAGCCCTCTGCGTGCCTTCTAGTGCACCTGAAGAGCCTGTGTGCCTTTCAATCCAAAACAGAACGCTTTATTTGGCTTTCAGGGTGCCCCAGAGCCTCCATGTGTCTCTTGGAGAGCCCAAGACCCCACCATGTGCTGCCCAAGAAGGGTGTAGGTTGCAAAATGTTTCTTCCCTGATAGCTTTTCCCCTCTGCTGTAGTAAGGGGATTGGCCAAGGCTCATCTGAGGCCAAGGTCTAAGTTTAGCATTAAGGTTGGAAGCAACATAAATGCCCCAGAAACCTTCATATTCATTTCACTGTTCCCTAAAATCCCCATTTTACCTATCAGTCTAAGCCAGCAAGATTGGATTCCTTTCCATGAACCCGAGACCTTCCATGCATGCTGGTGGCCTCCGGGTGCCTTTTGGTGCCTTCCGTAGCACTCCTTTGGCATCTACATGTAAAGGGAGTCTCTTAGAGATTTTACTCTTAAAACTCTTAAAATTCTCTAAGGTACTCCCTTTTAGTGCAGCCATGGGCAGCAGAGAAGGCCTGGAAATGAGGGACTCCCATGGGGGCTGTAAGCAGGACCCAGCTTAGCTGGAGCAGCCAAGGAAGGGGGCCAGACCAATGTGCTACAAAGCCTGCATAAGTTATGTGGGGACAAAAAGCCTCATGGGGTTCCTGCCCTCACTCCAGGCACTTAGTGCCTGCATCCCTCACTGCTTCCTTGACTACTCCCACCCACAAAAAGGGGTTGGGGCAGCCCATACCATCCCACAACCTTGCTGCCATCTGCCTTTCCCTGCAGAAATGCTTCTCCCCTGCATTGCATGGAAATACTCAGTGGGGATACTGGAATATGGACTGGAAATAGCTGGAGCTGTGATTAGAAGAGCCCAGATAAAACAGATGAAAAGGCAAGCAGGGTGAAGGGAGCATTTGTCATGAAGGAGAAATACCCATTCTGACATGAGCTCTTAAGCACTGCAAGACAATAAGAGCCCCAGTGAGATGGCTGCAGCCATCTGCTTCTCCCTTCTAGGTCCTGCAGAGCAACAAGGAATACTTCCCCACAAAAGACCTGAAGAGTAGGCTGGGAATGCGGTGGGGGAAGTGTATTCCTTCAAGAGCCATTGCCAGGGATTAAATAAACCATACCACAACAAAAATGAACAAAACCTTGTCTCTGGGCTGTTGCCTGCTCCCCTTATTATTTCAAAAAGAAAAAACAAATCACCATAGTGCTACAGTGCCCAATTCCCACTAAGCTCTTCCCACAGCACAGCTCCATGGTGAAGGGTACGAGGGCTATGGGGAGAAGAGTGAGTCAGAAAACATAGGCCCCTTCCACTTGGAACTTGGGAAAATTCCTTGAATGCTGATGATCCCTCTGCTGCCATCATCCGCCTGCTTGATGCCTTAGCCAAGAGCAATCCCAGCTCTCTTGGCCTCCTCGCTGGTGTCACCGCTCGGTCCTCCCTGAGAAGGCCTGGCCTTCCAAGTCAGAGCTAGGAACTCGCATGTTGTTATGGGTGGTCGCCCGAGCCTCGCGCCTCGGCCCTAACCCTGCGGACCCAGGAGTCGTCGCCCCTCGGGGCCTGAAATCGCCCCTGGCCATCATGGTCCCGCCTCGGTGACCTGCTTCGCGCCCTCTCGCGCAGCCCTGAGGGGCCACGGTCATAAAGGGGCACAGAGGAGCTCCTGTGTCGGCGGGCAGACCGTTGCCGCCGCTGCCGCCCGCTT